AGCAACAAATTCAGCTTTTCACTAAGCTTAACTTCACTGCCAATTAGTTTGGTTTCACCAGAGTATGCCCTGACACAGTCAGAATCACAAATCTTACCAAAAAAAGGCCTACCTGTTTTGGGGAGGAAAAAGGAACAAGCCCAACAACTTGTCTGTGAACTGGGGTCATATTGTCATCCTCTCCATGGAGGATTCCAAATGCCAGTGTTATATTTTTGGGTAAATGGGGGTGGGACTGTAGTCAAATATAACTGGTCAAATGTTTCTGCTGTCATAGGTGGGGGGCAGCCCCTTTCTCATTTTCATATTGATGGGTGTATTTCTTCACATGCAAAGGAAGGATGATGAGGGGCTTTTTTGACCTTTGGTCAAGCTGAGCTATAGGACTTACAGATGAATCAAAGGCATACTAGAACCTTGACACTTCAGCATTTCTTCCTCTCCAAAGAGTCAAAGCAGCAGTAAAGGCCCAGTAGACTGCTTTCATCAGCATGTTAAAACCATACATCATTGTCTCCTCAAAGGACCAGATACCCACTTCTAACAAAGCCTGTTACACCTGGGTGAGGAGGATTCACATCTCAGGATCACACCCCTATATAGAGGTGTCAGTGCTCTTCTGTGCTTCCCTGAGACAACATTGGGCTGGGAGGCCTCTGCTTCACCCCACACATTATGTTGGTAAGTCTTGCTCTATCCAGGTGCAAGACAAGTGTCTCAGCTCACACTGGCTCAACCAGCCTCAACAATTCTCCACAGCAAGCCTGGCAATTTTCCACAGCCAGTGATACAAATAATCTGGTTTGTGAAAGCCAGCTACAGAAAGTTGTGCAAGGATCTCTCCTGTGTATGTAGTAAACAGCCTGTGAAATTAAATGCTGTTAAATCACAGGGGGAAAAACACCACATTATGTACATAATGACAGATGCTAAACCACCAGTCCTTTCTCGAAAAGCTGAGTCATTCTGGAGTGCTCAGAACCTGGGTCAATGCTAAGCAGTGGTTAAAAGAGCAAATAGAGTGTTAGGAATCATTATGAAACAGAAGAAAACAATGCACAAGGATACAAAATTAATAAGACAACTCTAATACTGCACACTATTCTGGTCACTCCATGTCAAAGGAAACACTGTGAGACTAAAAAGAGATTAAATGCGTGACAAAAAAAAAATAATGGTAGAAAGATAAAGTGAAGAACACAAATTTATGGGCAAAAAAAATATGCGAGTGATAGGATCATAATTTTTAATAAGAAGGGGAGAAAGGGTGGAAAAATGCACTGAGAAACAGCATGGAAGTTGATTTATTATTTTGGTTTTTGGTTTGTATTTTTTTTAGTGGAATGTTATACAACAAATTTAAACATTCCCACAAAATATTTTGAATGCCAAAATCAAAATGTGCTAAAGCAACAATTAGACTAATTAATTGAAAATAAGCCCAGCAAGCAGTATCTGAGGCAATAATGTGAATTCAACCCACAGCCTACGGGAAGCTGAGACAAAACACTACTTTGACTTTATCTTGTTCCTGAACTCTTTCAACAGGCATCAACTGCACTCTAGCCAGAGGAATAAATGAAAAGAGTAACTCCTGGTTTTACTCTGTGTTGCCTCAACAGAGTGAAAGTAACGGTGGAGGAATTCACAGACCAGATCATATTGAAGATTTTTGTCTTTGGCGTTTTCAGTGCCATGGGCGGGGGAAGCACTAAAAGCATTATAAAGTACTAAAAAGCTTTGGCTGCAGTCAAATGAAAATAGGTATGGCAGTAAGCAAAATTTAGGTAAGAAGCATCACCATCATGCAAACATCTACCCTTACAACATATATTTGAAAAATGAGGAGAAGAAGAGGCAGAGAAGCAAGAATCAAAATCAGGAGGCAGGAAGAGGAGCTGGGAGACAGAAAATTACAGCATTATATGAGACAAAAGGAAAAGAAGGATGAAAGTATCTTCAGAGGAAGGACAAATGAGAATGAACTGATTCTGTCTTGTTAGCAATGAAAAACTGGCACAGGAACAGAGACCTGATTTCTTCATCTGATACTGCCTCTGCAAAAAGGCATGGGCTGGATGGAGTAATATTAAGATAACATACAGAGCTATGATCTTCCCAGACAATGTTGACTGCAAAAGGCAGGCAGGAAGGAAAGAAAGCAAGCATGCATTAGATGAGATTAGGAAGGAAGGCACATAAGGCAAGTAAAAGGTGGGAAGTAAGGGATGCTCAGAGCAAATATCACCAAAGGGAAGAAAAACTGAGGCAGAAGAGGACCTGGATGTGGAACTGGGATTTGTGACAGCGGAAAAAGGGGTTTAACAATCTTAGTTAGTGGAAGTGGTTTTCTGCACAGTATCTTGGAAGGCAAGAGTTAACCATACAAAAATTTAAATGTCTACATCAACTGAAAGAAATTATTCTTCTTCATCTAGAAAGAAAATGGGCCAATTTTAATATCTGGCTCCAAAAGTAAAACACCACTACATGCAAAAGGCAAAAAAATTATACTGACTTTATCTTGTTCCTGTTCCTTAGCTGCAGTCATGACTTTAATAACTTACTGTACTTTCTGTATATTTAAAAGCCTTTTGTAGAATTTTAGAGAGGATTAGTAAGAAACAGAAACACACAAGCCATTTATTATCTAAAAAGGGCCAATCAGAGCCACCATCAAATAGTGAAAAAATAATTCTTCAAAGCGACATTTTTGAATCCCAGTTAGCTGGAAGGGGCCCTAGCTTATGTTACAGAAGAAGTGGTTTTGGTATGTAGATTTCAGTAAGGAACAGCATGATCTGTGGTTCTGCCCAGTTCAGCCTCCTTTTCATCATGCATGTCACTCCAAATACTGCAGAGTTGCATTTGGTCCATAAATGGCTTAGTCTGAAGCCACGATACACAAATTAATTTTAGGCTATGCAAGTTACATTACTATGTCTCAACGTCAAATTGAAGCAGACCCTGACTGAAACTCCTTGTTCCTTTTCATGGTGTCATTAGGGAAATGGAACAAATAGAGCTTTATTCAGAAAAACTCGTTAGTGTAATGTAAATCTTTCCTGTGCTCAGACAAAACCCATAAAATATACCTTGAAATAAAAAGGAGCTTTCTAAGGAGCACAGCCAGAAAGAAAAGCTATGAAGAACACAAGAACTTGCCCCTACATGGCAGATCACAAAAACAAAGTTCCTTTTTGCACTAAACATTACTGTATTTATATAAACGCGGTCGGTAAAGCACAAAAGGGATAAAGATAAGAAGATGGATTGGGAACACGCAACTCTGCACTTAAGAAAATTATAAGGAAAATAAGAGATTTCAGTATTTCAGTACCTAGTACTCCTGCATTTAGCTGCACCTCCAACTAAATCTATAATCAGAAAACAGGCTGAAAAGACACACACAAAGGAGAGCTGCAGAACAACTTGCCAGACAGTATTTTTATATCTCATGAAAACAATGCCTTGCAATAAGCTGTATTTTCAGGCAGAAATAAAAGCCAGTAGAATCACAGAATTGTCCAGGTGAGAAGGAACCTCATCCAACCTTCTGTGGGAAGGGGAGCATAGATGAGACTAGCACCCTGCCTATGTCCTCTTGAAAACCTCCAGCAATGTCCCCAGGGAGGCTGTTCCAACAAATGGTTGATGCTTCTATAAAAATTTTCTTTCTTATCACAAGGTGAAACCTCTCCCAGTGCATCCTGCTCCCATTACCCCTTGCCATGTGGCTCCTTGTGGAGGGATCCTACTCCTCAAGAACCCCACCCCTCAGATTTCCCCTAACTGCCTCTTATGGTATGAAAAAAAAAGAAAATCCTGAATATCCTAGCTAAGCAATCTAGGTTACAAAAGTGCTAGCCTGATGGATTTTTTTGTTTGTTTTAATGAGGATCAGTACAATAAACCTGGGGGTTTTGTTTGCTTTCCACTTTACACCTATATGACAGATGCACACTGAAAACACTTTCCTTTAAAGGCTAGAAAACCAGCCTCAAGGGGATTAGCCATGTCCACCTCTATTAAAAATTGAGAAATGGAAAAAAAGAACATCCCCACTCTGCAACCCCTGGGCTCCACCTGCTTCCTTCGCCCGTGGCTGACAACTATGGGAGAGAAGGGATGGAAGAGAATCCAGGAAAATTATTCTTCTCCTGTACTCGGCACTGGTCAGGCCACACCTTGAGTGCTTGTGTCCAGTTTTGGGCCCCTCCGTTCAGGAAGGACATTGAGGTGCTGGAGTGAGTCCAGACAGACAGTGGAGGAGTGGAGCTGGTGAAGGGTCTGGCACACAGATCCCGTGAGGAGCAGCTGAGGGAGCTGCGGGTGTTCCACCTGGAGAAAAGGAGGGGAGCCTCTCCCCCCTCCGGGGAGACCTCACTGCTCCCTACACCTGCCTGAAAGGAGAGTGTACCCGGCGGGGTCTGTCAGCGACAGGACAAGAGAATATAGTCTTAACTTGTTCCAGGAGAGGTCCAGGTTGGATATTAGAAGGAATTTCTTCACCGAAGGAGTGATTAGACATTGGAACGGGCTGCCCAGAGAGGTGGCCGAGTCACCACCCCCGGAGGTGTTTAAGGCTGGACGTGGCACTTAGTGTCACAGTCTGGTTGACACGGTAGTGTTCGGTCACGGGTTAGATTCGATGATCTCAGAGATCTTTTCCAACCTAACTGATTCTGTGATTTTGTAATTCTGTAATCAACAGAATTGATTGGGCCCGGCGCACGCCCACCGCTCCAGCACCTCAGACAGGCGCGCGCTGCCCCCGCCCACCGCCTCACCGCCCCCGCGGCCCCGCCCGCCCCCGCGCGCCCGAGCACGCGCAGCGCTGCCAGGGCGCGCGGGCGTGGGCGCGCGGTGGGCGTGGCCAAGCGAGGCGGAGCGGCCGCTTTGGGAGCCGGTGGGCGTGGCCATGTACGCGGCGGTGCGGGTGGGAGGGCGTGGTCAGACATGGGGGCGTGGCCAGACATGGGGGCGCGGCCGACGGGCGCGGCGGGGTCAGGGAGGCGGGGGAAGCGGCCGGGCGGGCGCGGGGACAGAGACACGGTGGGCTTCGACGGGAGCTGTCGCCGCTGCCGCCGGCACCGGGAGGGCGCCGACCATGGACGCCACCACGCTGGAGCTGGACGCGGTGAAGTTCGCGAAGCTGGCGGTGCAGCGGGACCAGAGCGGGCGCTACCAGGAAGCGGTCTTCTACTACAAGGTACGGCGGGGACGCGCCGGTTCCCTCGGGGCGCCGCCGTCTCCTTCCCCTCAGCGCGGGCCGCGTGATGCTCTTGAGCCGCCGGAGGGTTCGCGCTCCCCCCTTGGCCCCCCGAGGGCCGCAGAGGAGTGTTGGGCACCCCCGCGGCCCGGCACGGCCCTGCAGGCGGGGACAGACGCTGGGTCAGCGCGGCCGCCCCCGCCCTCCCCCGGCGGGTGTGCCCCGGCAGCGAGCTGCTCGGCCCGGGGAGGACGAGGCGGTGCCCGCCGAGACGAGAGCGGAAGGCCGTGCGTGAGCGTCGAAAGTTTGTCGGTCTTCGCAGGAGCCGCGTCCTTCAGGGCGGGTTGCGAAACGCCTTTTCCCTGCGTCCTGCTTTTAGGTGGGAACGAGCGCTGCCCGTGCGCTGATGTTACCGACAGGCTTAGGGGAAGCACTGCAGGTGCTCTGCTTAAAAAATGGGAACGGGCGCTTCTTCCAGCTGCTGGAGACACTGCTCCTTCAGTGCTTCTGGGAAGATTCATCCTAACCTAAAAACGTCTCTGCCTCGCTGGTTTTACACATTCATTCCTGGCCCTGCCCATCCCCAGCCCTGCCAGGACGTTCATCCCTAAGCCCTGCCAGGCCAGAAAGACTGATCAGTTTTATGCTGGCACTGGGCATTTTGGAGAACTACAAGTGGGCTGCCGCTCCTGGGTGTGCAGCTGGGAGCAACTCTCTTGTACAGTCACCAAAAAAGAGGTCTGTGGTGACATACAAGATGTTCAGCAACAAGCCAGCTTCAGATCACAAGCTGTCAGTGACAGGTTTTAACCTCGTGTGAATATTCTTTCCATTAGGGACCAGATTTTATTGTTTCAGTAGAGTTTCACAGCTGGGAGCAACTCTCTTGTACAGTCACCAAAAAAGAGGTCTGTGGTGACATACAAGATGCTCAGCAATAAGCCAGCTTCAGATCACAAGCTATCAGTGACAGGTTCTTAACCTCGTGTGAATATTCTTTCCATTAGGGACCAGATTTTATTGTTTCAGTAGAGTTTCACGTTGGTGTAGCTAAGGGTATAATGAGGTTGATTCAGTGTCTTGCTCAATATCTGTAGGCTTACTACTAGTATGTAGTAATTTTTGTGTAACCATTAGCCATTTTTCACGTATGTAACTTGTCTCATTTTGTTGTTTTATGTGTCATAAAGTTACATTAAAGTTTCCTATCCCATTGGATATCTGTAGGCTTACTACTAGTATTTAGTAATTTTTGTGTAACCATTAACCATTTTTCACATACGTAAATTGTCTCGTTGTTTTATGTGTCATAAAGTTACATTAAAGTTTCCTATCCCGTTGACTTCTCACCTGCAAGAAGGGATCTCTGAAGCCTCTGTTCATCCTTATCACAGTAGTCATTCCACAGATTCCATTACCCTGACAAAGACATTCTCTTCCAATAACTTGTTAAGGGATCTGTAGTTGGCCTTTTATTTCATGAGTACAAGGTGTCTGTGAAGTGTTTAAAAAGCATAGTGTTAATATCTTGGTGTCCTGTGCATGTAAGTGTGAAAGAATAGGAGGAAGAGTCTTTTTTTTCTTTTTTGTTTTTTTTTTTTAACCCAGTTGTTAATTTTTAGAGGGCTAAATTTATTTATGTAAACCTTATATATGCAAAAGTTTTAGTTGCCCATAATAACACCGATATTATGCTAATAAGCTCTGTGTTCATCGGCAGCAGCGTGTGTGCATGATCTGATAACCATGTGCAGTACTGCTTTAGCACTGTATATTTCTCCTTTTATCTGGAAGAAATTACTCAGTGCTGTTCAGAATGAAAATATCTTTCTGTGCAAATAGTCATCCTTGTATGCTTTTGAACATACATGTGTGTGGAAAATCTTTTTCACATACTGTGTACAGGTGATATTCTTGCTGAGTGGAAAAATGCACCCCGGCAGTCATGGTGCACTTGAAGGTACACGAGACAAGAGGGTAACCTAGGTATGTTTGGCTTTCCAGATGTTGCCTGAACAATCACTGCCATGTTAGATTATACAAAATAGTTGCAAAATATAATTTATTATTTCAGGGATACTTTATTTATTTATTTATTTATTTATTTATATATTCCAGCACAGTAGAAGTAAGCTCTGGCCTGTCACCAACTTTCTTATCAACTGCTCTAAGAAGTTCAGAGCCCAGTGGTGCAATTACTAAGCATGTGGGAAAGCTTGGGTACTGAGCTGGCTTCTGCAGGAACTCGACCTTAAGGATGAAATACGGAAAATGCTACAGTTGTTGCCATAGACAACACCAAAATGTGTGAATGGAGTTCCTATGGTTAGCAAGTGTGCTTGGCTTCCTGCTACCATGTAGCTTTGATAGATGCCTAGAGGAGTGCTGCATGTGAGCCAGCTTCAGGCAGCTTGCTAATTAATGGTGCTCTGCAGAAATGTCAGGATCATATTTGGACACCGATGACTTCAGCCAAAACTGCTGAAGGCTGTTGCTAAGTCTGGCTGTTGACCAGCTGTTAGCAGCTTGCAGACTGATGATCTGTAATTAGCTTAGTGTGACTGTGGCACACTACTCATGACAAACAGTAGTGACATTGGAGAGATGATAAATGCTAAGTCTGACTTGCACATCCACCTGGTCACTGGAAGCAGCTGGCATGCTGCGTCCACAATCACTCTGTCAACTGCTTCAGTCCTTTGCAGGTTTGGTTTATAAAAGATTTATTTCCATTATGTTTACATCTTAAAACCAGGCAAAAACAATTGTGCTTGAAATCACAGAAGCAACATGAATTATATACTGGTTTTGTAGCACTGGTTTGGAAATCCACATTTGTTTTTTGCACCGTGTGTAGATGATATTCCTTTGTGATACAGCACCTGTTTTGTCCGTCTGTACTTGCAGTATGTCACAGACAAATATACCCATCCCTTGAGCACTTAGCTGTAGTGCACTTCTTTCCCCTGCAAAAAATAGTTGTGTGCTAGACCTTAATGGTAGTTAATTGCTACATATAAATGGTACTTATGCTTATCCTTCAGTGGTTGTGGATGTTTTGTGTGATGTAGTATGGAGATGGATGCTGGCGTGAGCATGCAGTACTTGGTTCTGTGATGTTTCTCAGTGAAAATTTATCCTGATAACAAATACAGGCTGTGTCAGGATCAGTTTTAACTTTGGGCAAACTAAACAGATGGGTATGGGAGCAAACTGCTAAGTTGGACCAAAATAATGGCCATAAAACACACAAGGGAGCCCTGGCCATGGATCTGTGCTTGCTCTGTGCAGGGCAGCCTCTGTGTAACCATCTCTAGTTACTCTTCTGCTTTCTGCCTTCCCAGCCTGCCTGCTCCCCGACCACCTCCTCTCTGCTGCTGCTGGGAAGGCGAGTGCTGCCACAAAACTGGGGGAGGGGGGGGGTTTCCCATGTCAATAATGGGGACAAAACAAGGTTTCTGTCCTCATTTCTGTGGGGTGACAAATCTTGTCTCCATATGGTTCAGAGACTGTGTCAGCTCTGGTTATTTATTGCAACCCTGCCAAACCTTACGTGTTTTTCATCAATTCAGTGAAGGGATAGACAGCTTATGCAACGGAAGGTGTTTTTTCTTAATAGATTTGTACAGGATGGAAAAAGCCTTAATGTGGGTGATGTGCTGTGCTTCTGAGCCAGAGGCCTACGCTCCCTCCTGAAAGCAGACTTCCATCCAGTGTTTTGTGTACATACAAACGTTTAAAAAAATAAGTTTGAGAAGATAGGAAGCCTCACATTTGTAGATGTTCCAGATTGGATAGCTTTATCTGAGTAATAATAATTAAAAAAAAATGCTTACTAAACAAAAAATCTTGGCATTTGATTTTAAAAAGCTTTTATATTTGTTTACTTTCATTATTACCAGATTAAATGCAAATAACTGGAATAGCTACTTTTTTCTCCTAACCTTAAATCCTCAACTTTAAAACCAAACTGATTTCAGTGCACGCATGAAGAGTTTTACTTAAAATCTCCTAATTTCATACATTACTATATTAACAGGCCTAAGATCTGATCTTACAGAACTTCTGAATGTTTTTATAGTCTTACAGGTTGTCGCAGATGTGAGAAATTAAACATGATCTAGCTTATAACTTGAAACTTTTTCTTTTGAGCAGAATTTCCCTGCAGCCACTGAGTCTTTCTGCAGATGTAAGGGCTTGCTTTCATGCAACTCATGGCTGCTGTAGGCCCTCTGTTTATGGTAAGTAATTTTCTACGCAGCAAACATTAACTTTGTCTCCAATTCTTCTCCCTGCAGGAAGCTGCACAAGCCTTGATTTATGCTGGGATGGCTGGGTCCAACTTGGAAAATATTCAAGAAAAAATAAATGAGTACTTGGAGAGAGTTCAAGCTCTCCATTCAGCAGGTGGGTAAGGAGCTTTCTAATTAAATCTCTGCTTAAATTAATTGAGTGGAAAGTTGTTTGCTGCTGTGAAATAATGGTGTTTACTCTGTTTTTATTATTCTGATTTTCTTGTCCTTTGTGAAGAACCACAAATACAATGAGCACATCAGTGCTTTGAATTCTAATACATCATAAATTAAGCGGAGTGTGACTTTCTAAGGACTTGGGTGTTGGTATTCTTTGCTTTTAAATATTCTGAGGAGCCACATCTGCAGAGCAAATGTGAGAAAGGTCATTAATAAAGGTATTAAGTGACATGGACACCTAAGTATATTGTCATAAGGTGTTGTATTTTCACAAATGATGCAATATTTTGCATAATTAAACATCCTGTTCTCCGTGTAGTATGAAAGAGATTTTAATTATTTCAAATCAGAAATATCCTGAGAGCTAACCTCTGCTTCAGGGGAGTGTGATGGCGTTTCCTTGCCCTTGCACAGATGTTTCTAGCAAAGTTTAGAAAGATTTTGTTGCCAGACAAGAAATAGACATTACCCATCTGATTAGAGCTGCTGGTGTTTTCTTGACATGTTCAGGATGTTTTTACATGTCTGCTGCTGTAGAAAGCTAAATACTTGTTTTTTCATTTAGTTCAATCACAGAAGACAGACCCTCTGAAGTCAAAACAACAGTTGGACTTGGAGCGTGCTCACTTCCTAGTTACACAGGCTTTTGATGAAGATGATAAAGGCAATGCAGAAGAAGCTATAGAGTTGTACACAGAAGCAGTGGAACTCTGTTTGAAAACAGTATGTTAAGCTACAGGTTAACTTGGTGGAATTATGTGATGGTAAGAAATTCTTCCACTCTCACAAATGACTGACCCTTAAAGGCTGGCTTGAAAATGGAGTACCTGTATTTGTAAAAACTACCTTTTAATTTTTTTTTGTTTGTTTCATTTTTTTGGGATTTTTTTTTAGTGTTTCTTCCAGTCTTTGTTATGTTTCTATACAATACTGTAAATTTATGGGGACTTGTCATTTATGTGGTTTTTTTTCTGAACTGGATTATACTAAAAGCTAGAAATATTCTGGAATATTTTTTGTGTTGATTTTTGCCCTGGAGCAAATACCACAAAAACAGAAATTAAAAACTGTTAAAAATGAAGATGACTTGCCAACGTGTCAGCTCTATTAATTTCTGACTATATTAAGAGGAGTCATTTACGGGAAATTTTTTGTGTGTGTTACATTTTCTGAAGACATAACAGTCTCCTGATGCCAAAACTATTAAAAATACCGCTTGATTACTCAAGTGTTTAACACTAAAGCTGTTATGAGTGAATTCAGTTCACACTGAAATTAATAAGGATGAATTGGCCATTACATAAACAATGAAGAATATAACTACAGGTACTGCTTTTCTCCCTTAAGTCCAGTTGCCTTAACTAACTCATTACAAGAAGAGCTCACCATCATAATGTAACTCCACCAAGTCTGTTTTTCTTTTTCTCTTCTCTTCAATGTTATAATGTAAATGTATTTGTGGGTTGGGGAGGGTGTTGTATTACTTTTGCTACATGCTTGAGTAAATCCTTTCCTCTGAATTATGTTAACAGGTTTTACCCAAGCTAAAACCCCTGGTGGTACAGTGTAACCAGATCAAGAGTTAGTAGAGCTGCTCTAGTTTTTCCACTTCAGCTGTTGGAGCAGAACATTTTCAGTCTATTACATAACATTTACTGTGGCAACATGCTCCTTTTTCTCTGCTATATTCCTCCTTCTGTTGTGTCAGTACATGCAAATATTACTGAAGTTAGTCTGAAAATACCTCATATTAACAGCTGCATTTATTGGGTATTTCATTAGGTACAAGATGCTGCTGAAGTTTCTTTTAATCTTGACTAGCATATTCTTTTGTTGACGTGATGGTAAGGTTTGTCCCTTGGGGTGACCCAAAAGTACTTTCTTTTTCCCAGGATGAAAGGAGATTTAAGGGACTCTGTTGTCTTGAAGCTTTATTCCTGTCCTTCTCGTCAGTATATTCAGGGGAAGAGATTTGTTTCTTCCTTACCTTTGAAGTACTCAGAGAGCAGCCATTACTCCTCTTCTGTGGCTGATTCCTAGATGAGTGTAGGCTGGTGTTCCATCTCCACTACTTACCTTCATAAATCCTTAAAAGTCTTTTCCAACCAGGAACCCCAGAGTATTATTTATTTGCAAATTAAATTACTGCTTACAGAGGGTGTTTCTAGTTTTGTTTCTTGGGGTGATAGTAGCTTGCTTTTTCTATCCTCAGTTGACATCCCTGACCTGGAATAATTGGTCAAGGCACAAAGCTAGAACCTGAAACCTGCTTGTGGGTTCTACAGGAGAAGCCATGCCTCATGTTGTGCCTCCTGCAGATTGTTTGGCTGCAGAATCCATACTCATCTGTAAGGAAGACAAAAGTGTAAACTGTCATAGATAACCTCCCAAATTGGAACAGAAGTTAACACTCTTCACATCTTTGTCACCCTACCCTAGGTTATTTTATGCTTTTGATTGCAAGTTAAAAATGTTGTTCTTGCACCTCTATGTTGTTTGTTTGAAAACAAACTTATTTTATGAAAGTAAACATTTCAAATCTTTTTCCTAAGTTATCATGATCATTTTAACACTTTGGGGAAAAGAATCGGAGTGCATCCAAACTCAGCAGTATATGCAACATTTTGTTATGTCTTCTTTCTGCCAATAGTGTTTTAATACAATTAATTCTTCTGGCAGTTCTTCTTGTGTATGGACTGTTTTCCATGCTGAAGAATTTTAGACATGACTTCCATTCTATCAAAATTTCACTAGAACAGCGAAATGACAATTGCTTACACAGTATTTTTTTAATGCTGAGTTTAAAAAAAGAAACAACAACAAACAAAGCAAAATATTTGCTCATTTCAAAAAGATAATTGGAAGAAATAGCTAGTTACTCTTTGCTGTAATCTAGAAGTATGACAGCTGAGCTTATAAAACATGTTGGTGGTTTTTGGATGTGTAGATTTTTCTTTAATTTTGCTCTTTAGGCTACTGAAACCTCAGAAGCAGGCCTCCAGTCCAAGCTGAAACAACTGGCTCGACAAGCACTGGATAGGTGAGTGCTGCTAATGTCAGTAAGCATGCTTGCTGTCAGCTCCAAGTGCACCCTCTGAGTTGGATTCTCAGTCTAACGTGTCTCTGTGGATTCTGTGTAGACTAAGCTCTTGCAGAGTTCACCTTGGAGCCAGTTGCCAGCTGCTTCACTGCTGAATGTGGCAGCTGTTGTGCCAGCCCTCTGGGAATCTTGGGACATGCAGAATTAGGAAAGGACTGTGTGCTTGTTAGAACAAATGCAGTACTTCAGAGATATAATCCAGAGTACTATAATCATTGGCCTCTGTAAAAGATGCTGAATTCAGGCTAGCATGAAGTCAAAGTGTCAGTGTCCCTCCATAAGGAAAACAGCTTGGAAACTGGGAAACATTTTTCTCTAAAATAGCAATCTAATTACATAGGATATGTGTAGTGAAATCTCTGAAACAATTTACAAAAGTATAAGATCAATGTGCCTCTTTTTAAATCAACTCTATGATGATGAATCCCAGGCTGTGTTGGGCTAATTTTCAGTATAAGCTGGGTTTTAGCACTTCTCACTCTGTGTTCACAAAAAAATCCCAATATTTTGCATATGTGTGACCATCCAGAAGCTTAATGCAGTAGTAACAAAATATGGCTCCTGCATACACAGTGTTCAGGCAGTTGAAAGTCTGGGTTGTGAGAATGCCCATGGGTTTTACTACTATTGTACCTGCTAGACAAAATAAATCTGGAAGGTATGAGAGGATGCAGATCGGTTTTTTCTCTGTGTTGCAGTGATCTTGTTCTGAGATCCCACATAATTAACACTTACACAAATTCTCCTATTACCATAATTTAGAGGCAATAAAAGTCTAATGAGTTATGTCAAAAGTAGCTTGTAAGAGTTGGAAATGCTGTATTTTAATTGATTCAAGAACAGAAAAATAAAGAATCACCAGCATCAGAAAATGATTTTTGTTTTTCAAAAAAAGTAGTGTTGGTCAACTTGGGCATTTTGTCATTCCATTTAACATATGTGGGAACATGAATCAAGAAAATCAATAATTGAACTGTAATTGTATTTTTATCACTGTTGTAAAGAAAATGCATTCTTTATTTGCTTTAGAGCAGAAGCACTGAAGGAATCTATGTCAAAGTCATCTCAGAAAGAAAAGTCAACTGCAGCCAAACCAAATCAGCCAGTCAGAACGTTCTTTCCATTGGGACCTGATTTTTCTTTAAATGATAAACCACAGACAATCAGAGCAGTACAAGCTAGTGAATCTCAAGGTCAGAGATACACTGCAGAGGAGATTGAAGTACTCAGGTAAGTCTAAGATTTTCCAGAATGAGTTCATGGAAGGTCTGACTCTGAGAAGCCCAAGTGCAAAGTTGTTTTTATAGATTATACAACTGCTACTTCACTGGAAATCAAAGGAGCATAATATTTTATATGACTCTGCCTTCTGTTACATCCAGTTCCTTTTACTTTGATTTTTGTTATAAATGAAATAATCTACAAATAATCCGTAAAACCATTAACCTAAATTGTGACTTTTGAAAACTATAAAATATATAACGTTCAAGAGGTAGTTGTCTTGTTTTCAGAACCACTGTGTATTGCTAGTTTTTGAAAACTTATTTTATTGTTTCCTTCTGCAAGTTAATCTTCAGAAGATGATTGATAGGTTTGTAACTTTTCTTTTTTGTTGTTTTTCTTCTGACTTGCAGGAAGACTTCAAAGATTAATGGCATTGAATATGTACCTTTCATGAGTGTTGATCTGAGGGAACGTTTTGCCTTCCCTATGCCTTTTTCGTAAGTAATGCTCCAGTTACTGAACTTCAGTTTTGTTTTTATTTTCAAAACTTTTCCATATTTGGTATTTCTGTATTTTGTTTTTCAGGGTTTAAAATAATTTACGTAGGCTTTTAAGCATAATTCAGGCAGAGATATTTAAATACTACCACTTCCTTTTTCCACTCTGAACTTAAAACTTTACTGTAAGCTGATCCTGCTGTGTAGTACTTTTGCACTTGTGTCTTCAAGCCTATGAGGATAATATTACATTTGGCTTTTTGGATTATTGGGCTGGGCTGGCAGCTTGAGTCTGTTTTCTGATGCTGCTCCATGCAAATGAGTTTAGCTCTGTTGCCTGTAAAATGCAGGTGATAGCTGTTTCCTCTGTAAAGGGCTATTCCAAGGAAGAGTGTGGTATATAACAGCTAGATTTTCATTCATAAGCAATAATAATAAATTAAGATTACACAGCCATAATAGACAAGACATCTGGGGTTGGTTGATTTTTTTTTACATTTTTTGCTTTTTTCCCCCTTAAATATCACAACTTAGAAGCAGTGTTCCTTGAAATTGTTTTACAGCTTTGTAATTGTTCTGTGCATATTTTGCACCATCTATCTGACATATTTAAGACGGCACATACCATAAAAAGCTCTTCTAAACTGCTATTGATTTATTTCTACTTTTTTTCTCTCTTAAATCTAGTGATAAGTGTGGGAAGTTACCATTATCCCCCAAACAGAAAGCAATGTTTGCCAAGTGGGTGAGACCAGATGACATTACAAATAACCCTACGATGATCTATACCGTATCAAGTTTCAGCATAAAGCAGGTAAATTCTTCCCAAGAAAAATGTGTGCTGCTAGTGGTTTAGCATGGGGGACTTTGTTGTTCAAAAAGAAATCCCCAAATATGAGAGCGCTTTCCTTGTCTCTTGTGAGGTTAAATAATTGGAAAAAATTCTGCTCTGTAGGGGCCCCATGTTGAGCAAGCGTACATTTGCTGCCTCCTTTTAGTTTAAATCCCTTTTGAAGAGAATTACTAACTGACTGTTTTCCTTGCCTCCACACACTGCATTCATCTCCCAGTATCTGACTTATTAATAAATGTCCTCACTGCCTTTCTTCTCTTTATAGACAATAGTGTCAGATTGTTCTTTCGTGGCGTCACTAGCTATCAGTGCAGCATATGAAAGAAGATACAACAAAAAATTGATCACGAGGTAAGTAGCTGTTGCTTTGTAAGATCTTTTCAGACTTAATACTGCCAAGCTTTTGCAGTGTGTTCTGTGACAGCTGTACACAGTCAAAACAGCATTTGTTTCACCTTCCTCTCCCTTGGACTTGTGGTTTCAGCACTTCTAAGCTGGAAGCCAACTTTATATTGAAACAAAGGGTTTTGAGTCTAGCAGCAAAAAGCTGTTAGACAAACATTCCTAATAAAAATTTTGAGTCAAAATTGAGAACAGATCGTGAATTATTCACCATAGACATGTTCAAAGAACCAGCAGTTTTCAGACATTTATATGTGCTCTAATATCCAGGATTTTTTATAGATACTCGCAAAAGTCTGCACAATTTGTTGCATCATGGTATAGGTATTTTTTTTCTTTTATTACTACCAGAGCATCTCATCTATCTTTGTTTAATGGATAACCCAATTTTTATCCAGCCAAGCAGCACTTTATTAAATGTGCTCTCCTGGTGAGACAATTACCATTGATTAAGTTTTCTGGGGTGTAACAAGCCTATGAAGTGGCTCCCTTACTGTACCTGCAGTGTATTAATCAGGTTTTCTGGGGTATATAGGCCTTTGATGCCTTAACTTGCTCACAATAGCTTTCTTTTTCCATGACATCTTATTCATCTATAGTTATATGATAACCATGAAATAATGCTTTATTGAATTTTGTTCTTCAACTGTTGATTAAGTTCTCTAAGGGGTATGGGTTCATGGAGTTCCTTTCTGCAGGTGCTGAGAGATAATTTCTCAGGATTTTCTACTGACACTCAGTCACACAGATTTAAATCAAAGCCAGCTAAAATCACAGTCAATCATTCCTTAACTAATTAAGCATACTTCATTACAAATTTTTTTTAAAATCACAAAACTCCTGGCTAAGATAAGATATAACTCGCTGTCAATATAGGTATGTATACAGACACTGTGCTTTGAGGAGTAAGAAATAGTTTGGAAGGATTTTGTATTTGTTTGGGATTATTTATAATGCCTTCTGCTTTCATTTTTCTACTTTGTTCACTGCTGTGCAACAGGTGGTCCATTTTGCAACCCATTGTAGAATTAATGTTAACAACACTATCTCAGCTCCACTCAATTGGCATCCTGTGATAAATTTTCCGTGGATTTTCTGGACTTTGCTAGGATGCTCTTGCCATACCAGTGTGTGAATGTTTTCAGATTGTTTTGTTTTAACCTATTCTTTTTGGAACTGAATTTGTATTCTTTTCAAAGTTCTGCACTGCCTTATCCTTCAAAAGTTTGGCTTGTCATTCAGGCAAATACTGTATTTATATTATAGATTTGTACATATTGCTTGTTTAATCATAAGATAAATTTGTTTGCTTTGCTTCTGTTTGAGAACATAAGTAACCTGTTTCTTTTTGCTACTGTATTAAATAAAAAGCTGCAGCAAGAGCAGAGCCTGAAAAAATAAAACCTATTTAAGCATGATTATTTTTTACTAAATTTGAGTTGCTCTTCATTAAAAATGCCATATTTTGGTTCAGTTTAAATTCCATAAACAGACTGTGTTAATCCCACTTTTATCATTATAAGTGTAGGTACAGCCATGTCATTTATGTCATATTTTCCTCTTTTGTTTCCTGTTAACAGTATAATTTACCCTCAGAATAAGAAAGGAGAACCAGAATATAATCCATGTGGTAAATACATGGTGAAGCTTCATATCAATGGTGTTCCTAGAAAGGTAACTTTTTTGGGGGAGCTTACAACTGTTACTGCATGTGTCATGTGTTTAAAGGCTTGATCAGCTTCACTATGAAGTGCTTGCATAGCAAAAACTTTAGGCAGGTGTTTTTGAAAGTAGTTTTTAATGGTTAAATCTTTTTGAGATTCATTTTTGGTTTTGAAGTATGCAACCACATACTTCTTCTGTCTGTACTTTATCTATAGACATTAACAAAAACAGTCTTGCATTAAATTCATCTAAAAAATGCCTTAACAGAATTGTGAAAACCAAACAGGAACAAAGCTATGTATCCCCTGTTTATGAATTAGATGTGCACTCTTCCACTCCATCTTAGAAAGAATTAAAAATTATAAAGGGGGATATTAGGAAGAGTATAGATATGGAATGACCATAGAGGAATAACTCGACTGATAATTCAAGCAAGGCTTTGCTCAACTAAAGATTTTTAGTAAGAAGAGGAAATGCCTGAAGATAAAACTTTGCAAACTCACAAACAACTTCATTTTCTTTTCAGTGCAATAAACAAGAACATAAAATAATGTATTTCTCTATATCATACTTAACTGTAGCACAGACCATAGTGACTGATGAATGCTTATGAGAGTTCAGAAGATGAGTGGTCATATTCATAATGTGAAAGTAGGGGAAACTCCCCAAAGGCTCTTAATTGTTAAAATAGAACCTCTGGGTCAGGAAGTCCTTGAGCTGCAAAATTCTGAAATCTGAATGTTCCTGGAAAGTATAATTTTTGTATCTGCCTTGCTCTTAATATTCTTTCCAAAATATCTGCTAAAGGCTGTCTTTTGTTAGGATGAATGGCTATTTGCTCTCCTATGAAAAGGTCTATTCATTCCTGCACAGATAGGATTTAACCAGAGAATCTGCTGTGTTGGTAGCCTGTATGTGTAATGGAGCAGTGCCAACAGGAAACTGAAACATCTATTCACAGAGACTGTTTCAGATTTCTGCAAATGTGCAGTAAGAATCTGTAATGATGATGAATATATAGTACCTAATTTAAAGAAGAAATGTTAATACTGTCAGAGCTGCTGCTTTGAGGTGTTTTTCCTTTTCAGAGAGAAGAAACTTAAATCTGGAACCGGAGGCTACCATTTGTGTCATATCAAAGTGAGATGACACAATTTGTTTCCTTAAAGATAAATAAATATTTATTTCTCTGCTGGCTACCAAGCATCATCCATGCTCTGATTCCTAATTACATGAGGAATATTGTTAGGCTTTTCTTAACTTTTTATGCTTGTAATTGCATGGAACCTTTCTGCAAATGCCTTTTGTAGCTATTGCACACTTTGTAGGAGTGTACTGTCACCATCAGTCAAGGCAGCCACTCACATGTCACTGTGCAATCAAGAGCTGGCAGTGGAATTTCTTGTTCACCTGGGCAAACCACTGCAGGATTGATAGAGGTTCCATATGTGAGAATAATGGTCAGGTCTGGCTGTCTCTGAAAAGCTTTGTATTAATGAGGGTTTTGTTTTATTTTCTGATGACTTTCAAAATACTTTATTAGATTGATGATGATTTTTCCTTCATTTCACACAGGTGATCATAGATGACCAGTTACCTGTTGATCATAGTGGGGAACTTCTCTGTTCTTATTCCAATAATAAGAATGAATTATGGGTGTCACTAATAGAAAAGGCTTACATGAAGGTCATGGGAGGATATGATTTTCCTGGATCAAATTCTGTAAGTATGATATTATTTCTAAGAGGAAAAAAATCCACTTAAATAATAATGGGTAAAAAAATTTCATTCTAGTGAAATCAAAGTGAACAGCTTAGGGAGACAAGTGTTTGGTTTGACATTTTCTGAAATTTTTTTTCTGTTTCTTTCTTTCACAGATATTTTTAGCTGTACTTAAGGAAATTATTCCATCAAAATAGAATGAGCAAGACATCTTGATGGTCAAAGTTAATCTTAGTTCTCAGATTTCAGTATTGATGCTTGTGGGTAGGAAGTGTTTATGTAGAGTCTAGATGGGCATGTTGGGTGAAGTCAAATTCTCTTTTGCCCATATCAGTACTGCTGATTTTGGTTTCTAACTCTTTCAATAAATAGGGCAGTTCTCCCTCATTAGGTAAGGGAGTCAGCTAGGAAAGGAACAGTCTAGACATTTAGAAGGTCTGTATAAAGGCAGCAAGTACTTTGATCTGTGTGAGTTTGTTTATCAGATTGTTCCACTTGTCTCCATAAATACGCATTGGGTTTCTATAATGTGGTTACTAAAGAAACAGTAAACATACGTCATACAAGTGACATGCAAGTTATTCTTTAAAGAGGAATTGTTTGCTGAAATGAGTAGTCCACATAATTGCTTACTTAGGAAGCCTTTCTGATTTTAACTTTATACTACTAAAATTTTAAAGATTTTTTTTTTAAGTTCATGGTGCTAATTGATGTCTTGACAATCACGTTCTTGGTGGATATACTTAGTAATCATCACCTCTTGAAATTTGTTATGGAGACAAATGTGGCTTTGTGTAAGGGGTAAATGTAACACATATTTTTAGGTGTCAGGCTACTTTGTTTTGAAGGACAAAAGCTGGTGAGAATAACAGTGTTTTATTCCCATTGTCATCCTCTAACTTGCTATCTGGAAAAACAGCTTGCCTGGTGATATTTAATCTCCACCCTTCCTGCCCCATCCTCTTTCCACTGTATTCCAGCTTCCTTCTGTAATCAGGGTTACTTTCAGTCAGGCTGCCTTGTACTTGTAATTCCTCAAGTTCCCACCCTCCTGTGCTGGTTATTGACACTTCAAGCATTTACAGTCTCTGCTTTTGCTTTGAGGGGTGCAAAGCAAAAGAATAGGAATTAAGCAATATTTCAATGAGTTGGGAGATTAAAGCATCTTTTTATGGAAATACATGTCAGTGTCAGCTTTACCAAAAAGAATAAAAAACCCAAACTCTGAGCTTTAGAAATAAAACGTAAATTATTTAAAATGCATATATAATAGCAAGGTACCAAATAGTGCTTCTGAGATATGCTTTAAAAATCTGCAAATCAATGAAATAAATAGAACACATCACACAACTGAGCATGACTGATGATTCTGATATGCTTCCATTGCTCTGAAATTCCAGTTTATTTCATCAGTTCACTTTCCAGCTTTGTTTCAAGCTACTTGGAAATGTTGTCCTTGTCTATTCAAATAATTTTTTTGTTTGTTAGTCTTAATCTTGACCCTTTTATGTGTAGAGCTGTATTGTAACTTACGTGTTCTTGATTTCTTTCAGTGTTTTATAAGTTGTGTACAGGCATCATATGTTTATATATGGATTATCTGTTCTGATTCCTTTTGAATACTTGCATTTCAGAATATTGATCTCCATGCACTGACAGGTTGGATACCTGAAAGAATTGCAATGCACTCTGACAATCAAGCCTTCAATAAAGACAGCACTTTCAGAATGCTTTATCAGAGGTAGACATTTGTTCTTTCCTAAGTAATTAAAATGCTTGCTGTGTAGTAGTTGTGTTACCACTGTAAAAGCAGTACAGTCACCACAGATACTTCAACAGCACTTTGGTACTGCTGCAAATAGTGCTTTATAAAACCTCCATGTGCTTTCTGGCAGAAAAAAAATTGAGGTATTGTTGGCTTTGTTAGAACAGAAGATTAAAATACTGGGGAATTTTGTGTGATGGAATTCTTCTTCTATATGTATGAAAAAAAAAATAAGTAAGCCTTTCCTTGATAAAGAAAACAGAATATAAAGTCAGAGAAGAGCAGTTTGGAACCAATATACCAGTTATATTATAACTGGTACCAGTCATACTATATACCAGTTAAGTGTTTAAAAAGAAGAAGGATATGTGTTCTGTGTTTCCACACATCTGCTGTCCTTAGTAAGCAGGTATAATACAGTGTTTCTAATTGTATCACACCGTTATGCCCAATCAGTAAATCTCCTGGAGGAGCAGCAAAAGTCTTATCAAAACTGCAAAACCTCAGACCTACCATCACAGTTGTATTTGATGGTCTTAAAGGTCCAAAGTAAATAATTCTATTATTTTGCTTATAGTCAGAGTTACAGCTGTAAATTATAAATGCCAGGTATACCAAGTACTTTGATTTCTTTCAAAATGGTTTTGTGCAGCCAGTGTCTTATGTATTTCAATGCAGTAGAAGGGGGTTATTCTGTTGACTGAAACATCTGCATCCACGATTAAAGAGCCTTTCGACAGATTTTTTTCTGTTGCTTAGGAGCTCTCAGAGCTGTCAACAATTTTTCTGATATTCTGGTGTTGTAATTGGAAGGTATGACTAAAGTTAGGTTGGGATCTAGCCATTGGAACATTGCTACTGTTCACTTGTGCTAGAGTGAAAATGTGTTGATCCATGCAGTCCAGCGATCCTCTAATCTGTCTAGGGACACTGAGTACGTACTTGGATTTTTTGCGTAGGCTGGAAACGTGTTAGTGTGTTTTCACAACAGTAATTGTTCCAAAATTAACGCTTGCTATTCAGAACACTAAACTTGAGTATGAACACCTGCAAAAGTATAGAAGCATGAACTTCTTCAGAATCCTGGGAGTGTGACAGACCTAATAATTTGCTATATGCAGCTATTGACTTAGTGGTGATGAAACCACATTTGTGCTCAGCTGTGGATCTGTGAAGAGCACCTTAAAAGTGTCACAGGCTGAGCTTGAGGTTGATAAATGCTGAATTTTGTTTATAAAGATACGAAGTTATATTAAAATAATCATTTTTCATTTAAACTGTATGCTTAATTGTGAAAGAAAAATGGTTTCACTTTCTCAAATTTTTTTCAGGAGTGATTTCTATTGACAAAAACCCCTATATCCCAGTTTTTATAAAGCAGGGTCATGCTAATGGGCGGTGTACAAACATGCTATTGTGGTGTCTGGCAAATATTAGATTGCAACTTGTGGAATTTAATTAAGCTATTTTTTCACCTCTTTTTGAACAGATTTCACAAGGGAGATGTCCTTATCACAACAGCAACAGGAGTGATGTCTGAAGAGGAGGGAGAAAAGTGGGGTTTAGTTCCAACCCATGCATATGCAGTCTTGGATATAAGAGAATATAAGGTATCAAATGAAGCTGAAAGTGTTTTAAAACTCCTGTTTGAAACCTACCTGTGTTTCTAGGTTTACCCTAGATGGGTAGCTACTGGTTTTTTTGCTCTAATGGCTAATATATTTTATTTTGTCTTTGATTTGGACTCCACTGGGAAATTTCAGAAAACTTAATGATTCTGTGTTCTCGTGATCCATGTAAAAGCACTTTCAATATGTAAAAATTACCATGACAAGCTGAATTGACAATTTTACTTTGTGTTTTTGTTAGGGACTTCGATTTCTTCAGCTAAAAAATCCCTGGAGCCACTTACGTTGGAAGGGACGATACAGTGAAAATGACACAAGAAACTGGACCCCAGATTTGCAAAAATACTTGAACTTTGATCCCAGAACAGCTCAGAAAATAGACAATGGTAATAAGGTTTTAAAAGTCATTATCTTTTCAATTAGTATAGATCTTTGTGGTGAATCCTTGAAGGAAGGTGGAAGTGATTGCTTAAGCACAAGGAGAGTAAAAAAAATACTAGAAACTAAATAGTCCAAAAGTTTAGGAAGTATTTGTTTATTTAAATCTGTCATTTCAGGTTTGTCTGGGGTTTAAGTAATCTAGACTGTTAAATATATACCTCAAATTCATTGACAAAAAAGTACCTCCTTGGTTAAGTGTGCTGTCTCAGTATGTGGGAGTTCAGTGCAAAGAGAACATTCTGACAATAAGCTGTGTAATGCTGCTTTTTAAAACGTGAATGGACTTTCTGTAGGGTTTTTTCCCCTCTCCAAAATTTTCAAATATATATCAACATGCTTACTGTAATCAGTATTTAAATCAGTATTTCTGGTGCATCAGCTGCATTTTACTTTCAGAAAGATCTTCCTGCATTTTACTGTGTCCTCGTTGCTGCCTGCAAATCTCTGAGGGAGCCCTTTTGTTCAGTGCCACTTTTTTACCACACTATTCCTCCAAATCCATTAGATGATAGCATTTATTGATAAGCCTTGTGCAAATGCCTGATGAAAACTTTTGATTCAAACATAAAAATAGCAGCCCTGGATTTGTGACAGTTATGAGATAATAGCTTGTTATTTATTTACCAATTCATTTAGTAAGTAATTTGTAGCATCTGGTTGTTAAAATTTTATATGCAATTACCTTAGTAATTCTAATGGAATTACTCCTTCTAATTTGGATTTACACTTTGGATTTCTTGGTTTTGTGTAGTTATTATTACTGGTTTTTGGTGCTGCAAGATCTGCAACTGCCTATGTAAGAGACATGATTTATAAGGCTCCTACCATTTTAAAAGTTCATTCCACTAGGAATTTGTTGGCTTGAAGGCACTGTTGTTGGCTGGAGTTGCAATTAAGAGAGCTATGGAGAACTAGAATAAATGCATGAGAATTTTGCGAAGAGAACACAAATTTAGGGTGCAAAAACAAGTGACATAGGTGTTGGATGAAGTACCTTAGAAATACATTTGAACATACTCGCATGTTGGTTGAATACTTGATTGTGCTGGATGACTGCTGAAGGAGGTTGTTGAATTGCAGGAACCTGTTTGACTGTGTATTTTATTTTTTTGGTTTTAGAAGCCTAGGAAAGGGGAAATCAGGTCAGAATCACCAAATGATGTCTCTTTCAAAATAGCAGATTTTCTCATACATTCTGCTTAATGCCTGAGAAGGGAAAAGCATTCTGACAGCTTCAGAAAGTCCCTGATAATAAGCAGAGACCAATTTGTTTTTTCTTGCTTTAACTTGGTTTGGGGGGCAAGTTTATATTTAGTAATTTAGGCAGTGCAGACATTACTGCTACATTTTGCAGTAATGTATACTTATATAAGCTGTATCATTTGCTCAGAAAGAGACTTTTGAGAAACAAGTAAAATCAAGGTATCTGGTAAGAAAATAATAACAACATTTCCTTTTCAGGCATTTTCTGGATTTCCTGGGAGGACCTGTGCCAGTACTATGATGTTATTTATTTGAGTTGGAACCCAAGTCTTTTTAAAGAATCTACATGTATTCACAGGTTGGTCCAAAAGATAAAATTTTTGTTTCAAAATCTCAGTAAGGTTCTGTTGTGATGTTTCCTTCCTTCAATTCTTCCAGGTTACAGCTAGAGGCTTAAATTCCAGCCATGTTCTTTTGAGCCTGACTTTACACTTTCTCAGCCCAGGCTTTGTTTTTGACTGCTTCTGTAACATCAGTGGAGCTCAGTGACCCTTGTGATGTTTCTGTGGAACTACAGCTGTGTAACCAGATTCTGACCTCATTCCCACATCTCCCTCTCAGAATAAAAATCAGATTTTTGTGCAGTCCATCTCTAAGCAGTGCCCAGACAGTGCTTAAGTGACCTAGTTATTATTTGGAATTATTTTTTCTGGTCACTTGCATGTGAGCTGTGCAGCGTGTGTTGTCTTTATAGGGTGTGTTCACTGACATCAGGGTAGTTTAACCAGTTCTGGGTTTTAGCACTTGTAGTTACCATAAATAATCTTCCTTGCCTGCTGATTTGTTTTCTGAGTGTGAGTGTCTCTTACCAAATATCCATTACATTCAGGGGGTTTGTCTCCCAGTTTGGGGATAAGTGTGTGTATCTGTGTCTTGATTTTGGAAAGCAAGGGTTTCTATACTTTTCCACTCCACTAGACTTTACTTTGCCACTGCTTCCACACTGTCCCTGCATGTGTTAGCTCTGTACAAGCTCCTTCATCCACAGTGTGAGTCTTGAGCTTATCTGTAAAGGCTCCTTCCATCTTTGCACTCCAGTTGTTTCTAAAATACACTGTGGTGATGCAGCAAGATGAGATAACGTGTATGCTAATGTCAGAGCTCACCTACTGGTCTGTCTGTCCTGATGTTATCAGTGATTGTCTTCCCTCTGTGTAGGGAGAGCCTTAGCACAGTAACAATTGCCATAACATGCAGAGTAACAGCAGTGATAATTTGAAGCTTTTTTAATGCAGCCTTCCACACATGCTGTTCAGTTTTACAAGTGTGAGAGGGAAAAGGAGACTTAGGAATAGCTGTGTACACTTCTGTTTCCAGTGTGCCACACTTTTTGTTCAGTCATCAGCACTTTTTGTTTTTTCTCACTGTATTTTTCTTGTCTAGACACTTCACAAGGCAGCAGGAAGATTCTGCAGTAGGACACCTCAAAGATCTTTAACACTTCCTGCAGGCACCCTTCCAAGAATGAAACAAGGCACAGTTTAAAATTGAGTTGCATCAGGAAAAAAAAAAAAGGAGGAAAAAATTTGGCAATTTTTTGAAACCAACCATAGCAGATAGATAGATAGATAGGTTTCTACAGTTACAAAAGTGTAGGTGTTTTTCATTTAATATTGGTGTGTCAATCATGGCTGTGGTTGTGTAGCCCAGGCTGCTTAAATGGTTCCGCTTTTTCTGTGCTTTGCGTGATTGCAGTCATCAGCCAGGCTGTTTGTATTTAGCATTTTTTATTATCATACATGTATTGTGATGAACTCTTTTATAAAACAAGGTTCTAAGACAATGCTTCTGATGTGACTGTGTTATGTAACCACTGCCGTAGATTCCAGTAGAAAACTAGGCTTTGGTAACTTGTTACTGATAATATCACACTCTGCATATGTGTAGGATTTGGAGTTCATTTCAAAGCACAAATTAGTTTCTTACTGGTCTAATAACGTGTCTGTATCATTTTCAGCACGTGGGATGCAAAGCAGGGCCCGGTGAAGGATGCCTACAGCCTGGCCAACAACCCTCAGTACAAGCTGGAGGTGCAGTGTCCACAGGGTGGTGCTGCTGTCTGGGTCCTGCTCAGCAGGCACATCACTGACAAGGTGCTGGTTCTGCACTGCGAGCTCTGCCACAGCTTCTCTAAATCTTTCTGTATGGCTTTCTCTTATTATTTCTCTTATTATTTCATAGGCAGTATGTTACTGCCTATGTTCAGGTGTGTATGCCTGTGTACTTGTGGAATTTTTTCATTCAGCAGATACATGTACCTCCAATTGAAAGAGAGTAAAATTTGATCTAAGTGATTCTATTCCACTCTAAAGGTTCTGAAGTAACTTTGAATCCTGAGGCCTGAATAAGGTAAATTAGTGAATGTTTGTTTATTTCAGGCATTTGAAAAAGGATTCTGCTGGATATCCCAATAAATACAAATATCACATCATATTGTGTGCGAATCAAAAGGAATGATAGAAGGAGTACTTGACTCATTAAGCATTCATAATGTTTCACAGAATTGCACAATTCTGATTTGTGGTTTTTTGTGGGTTTTGTTTTTATAGGATGACTTTGCACACAATCGGGAATTCATTACAATGGTTGTATACAAGACTGATGGCAAAAAGGTTTACTATCCAGGTTAGTGTACCTTAATTGTCAAGAAGCTGATGTTATAAATAAATGAAGAAGCAGACAAAATTTTGTGGAGAGGAAAGGCACTTTTTTCTTTAAAACTAGATGCTTAGTTAAGAAGTCAGTCGTCTGAAGTCATTGTTTTGCCTGCTTGATCCTACTTAAAGTCTACACAGAAGGAATAGGCCATTCTACAGATGCTACAGAGTACTCTAAGCACTCTTAAGACTGCTGACAGACTGCTGACACTTATTTTGATGCAACATTTTCTTTATTTTTTTCTGGTTATTTTTCAGTGCCAGTCGTTAATGCTTAGAGGGAACAGATGTTGTGTGTTAGTTTCTCTGACAGCACAATTATTTCCTACATTTGTGAAATTGTTTAAAGGTCTACAGCTTCCACAAAATGAAAATAATCAAGGTTAATTGTCCCATGGTTTTGGCTTAGTAAAGTACCTAAGCAAACTTACGAAATATAGGTGAATACTTCAGCATATTTTCCAAGTATCAGGTATGGAATGTTAAAAATGTTCAAATTTTATCAAAATCTCACCCTTGGTCATTTTATGTCAGATTCTTTTCACCTTGAGGAGAAGTGGTTTTAGCCAAATATGCTTTATTTCAATAGAGATGGCAGATCTAAGACACAGGGTGTAAAGGTAATGCCCAGGTTGAATGGATAGACTGAAACTTTAAGGTAGAGCTAGTAAATGATCTTTTTATTTTTTCTTTCTAAGTTAGAGATTGCTAGAAATATTCCTTGGAATTATTCAGTGAAGGTGCATCCTAAAACAAGTGGGATTTGGCCGGTTGCTTTTACAGATAGGAACCTCTGTAGAACCAGGTTTGCATTCAGGTAGCTGCTCATGCAACAACTCCCTTTCTAGATTTTAAAGCTTTTTTTTTTCACCAAAGAGTGGAACTTGTGGGACTTTATCTGTTGGAATGGCTAATAAGCATATTGCATTGTTTGCATCTGATCTTGTTCAGTGAACTCTGCTGACCAATTCCCCCAGAATCCAAGCTTCCCTGAGAACCCAAGGCTTTCTGTGGAAAGATCTGTTGACACCTGACATCATCTGGTTTTGTAAGAGCTCCTCTGTGAGGAGAACTACATGCCCAGGTTGCTTCTGGTGTTCTGGTGGTTCTAGCAGTGCTTATTTTACACATGTGTCTCACTGAAAATGTTCTTAAGTGAACAAACCCAAACACAATTGTATAGTAGAGGGAATTGTTCAGTTGTGCTTGAAAGAGACAGCCTAGAAAGACCAGTAGCAAAAACTGAACAATTCATTTGTTTTGTCTTGCTACACAAACTCTTTTAAAAACTTCTGATCTCACGAGCTCAAACTTGTTTAAAACCTTTTTCCATGGAAATAGATTGGTCAAGCTGCAGTATTATTTTTAACCATCTGTTCAAATGAGATGAGAACAAAGCAACTTAATCCTTTGGCAGCAAGGCCGAGATTTCCCATTCCTAAGCTTCTTATTGTTTTATATTAATCCTTTCCCCTCTCCCATGTTGCTTTGTGGAAGAAAATAAAAGGACCTGATCCTGGGCCTATTGAATTAATTGGCTAGACTTGGTCCTGCTTCACTGAAATTAAAAGAAGTCTGGAAAGAACCAATTAGAGGCCAAATAACAAATTACACTGTCTTATTATAAAAGCAAACACTTGGGATCTTTGGGAGTACCACATGTGCATTGGTATTGGGATGCAGCTACATCTGTGTAATGATCACAGGGATTTGAAGAGAGAGGGACAGAAAGCGTGTGTGATTTAGTTAAAGGAATTAACATGTTTTGAAGTATTGTTTACAAGGTAGCCAAAGTTTTGGCAGCTGGCATTCTGGAACTGTTCAGCCAATGGAGAAAGAGCAGACACTTCAGAGATTTTCAAAGAGTGCTTAAACATTCATTATCTTTCTCTTGAAATTTCAACGTAATTACAGCAGTCTTCTTTGAGTAGTGACATTGGTGGGAGGTGGATAAACAATCCTTGCACGTCGTGGGATTTAAGCTGTGCTTTCAAGCACAGAGTTTGTGTCTTGTCATGTGTGATGTACCTCTCCTGAAAACAGCAGTTGATGTTAAGACTGTCCTTTCTGTGGGTAAATCTTGAGGCTCTCATCTGTTCAGAGCACTTGGGTCTGTTCAATCTAATCTTAGAAGTTTACCAAGCTGGGGTTTTTTTTGGTCAGGAAAAAAATGTTCATCCTTTTCTTTTTCAGCTGATCCTCCTCCTTATATTGATGGTATTAGGATCAACAGTCCTCATTATCTAACCAAGATAAAGCTGACCTCTCCAGGTTCCCATACATTCACCTTAGTGGTGTCCCAGTATGAAAAACAAAACACCATCCATTACACCATCAGGGTATGTGCTGTTGTTTCATAATGAATGTAAGCAATTAGACTGCAAAATGTCCTTTGTTTTTAAATTTGATAAAAGGGTATTTCTGAATTAATATTGCTATCTTGGGGAGGGAAGCTATGAGTGATGGAGCAGAACCACTGAATGACGTGTTTGATAATGTTCTCCATTTGTAGTAACAAAATTTTAGTAACAAAATCAGCTGAAAAATATTATTACTTTCTAGAATAAAAAGGTATCTATGTACAGGCAGATCACTGGTTCTCTATGTATCCAAAATAAACCTATTTTAGATCCTGGTTAAGATTTAAAGATTTTTGACTTTTCTAGGTCTTGACTTAGGATTTGGGTTTTTCCCTTAACTGCTGAGTCACATAATGATCAATGCTAGATTTTTTTTTTCACTGAAAAAAGAGTAAAATGCAGATTGTTTCCATTTTGCTTTTTTTTGTTGGTTGTTTTTTTTGGTTGGGTTTTCTTTGGTTGGTTGGCTTTTTTTGGGGGGGATGGGGGGAAGTGTTGTTACAAAAATTAAGTAGAACTAAGTCTAAGTCTTAGTCCCAGCACTATTCTGAATTTTGAGTTTGACACAGGGTCATCTGATGGGTAATACAGGCATATAGTGAACAAGTATCTAAAAATGTTGTGTAGGCAATTCTGCTTTCTTTTAATTTGTCATGATTGCATTTGAAAAGTGCAAGATGAATGTGTGACCTGCTGCTTCTTTTTACAACACAGGTGTATTCCTTGTGCAAGTTCACCTTTTCCAAGATTCCTACACCTTACACCATTTCCAAACGGGTAAAGAAACATTTTCTTTTATGCATCACTGGTTTGGCTTTTCCATATTTGAGATGTACAAGGTTTTTAAATATATTTTGATACTACTGCCCCCCCCTCCACCACAGAGTGTGTTGTTGCAGCTGTGCTATTGCAGATGTGCTGCAAAGCCTTCATAGAACAGACTGGCCTTTGGAACAACAACCCATACCCTAATAAGTCCTCACTCTGCAGAAATCAGGTTGTGCTAGGAATAGTGCAGAGAGAAAACCCCCCAGAAGTGTTGCTCATTTCCCCTTGGGAGAATTGCAGGATTTTCTTGGGAAAACTCCTGGCATGATGGGACAAAATCAGCAATGCCAAACCAAAGGCACCAGTAGCAAGACCATAAGAAACAAACTTAGGATGGCAATATCACAACACATTACTGTTCCTAAATTTTGCAAAGGTACCTCAAGGGTCTGTAACAATGGGAATAAGCACTCCTGTTGCCAGACAGGATCAAGGAGGTATATCCATTGTACATTTCCTGTAGAAATGCTCCCTGAGAGTATAGGAACAGGCGGGAGAGTGAAGAACTTGACTGAAACTAGGTCAGAAGCTTGGGCAGTTTTGGGGCCAGCTGCCGTTCGTATTTCAGCTGTCAACATGAGCTGCAGTTACACCTTCAGCTGAAGTATAAATATAGCCAAGGGCTCACAGGATAAAGTAACTTGTATGTATTTTCATGTTCTAGCAGTTTTATCCTCAGGAAAGAATAAACCAGCAGCTTTACCTCTGTACCTATCATGCATACCCTGGGGAATCCTATTGTAGTCAGAAGTCTTTTGTCCAAACAGTAACTTGTTCAGGAAGAGAGAAACAAGGGAGTTTGAACCACAATGGAACAATCCATTTTCTAGGACACTTGTGCCTGGAACCCAGGATTGCATTACTTTGTGTGGTCAGGGGGACATGCTGGCTTGCAGCTTGGCTCTTGAGTTCGGACAATGTTCCATACCAGCTGTTATTTCTGGAACAGTCCCTTGAAGCCTGTTCTAGAGAATGGTGAGTGAATGGAGAGATTCCTAGGAACAGCAAGATGATTTGTTTGCTTCTTCCGGAAACCACTGTCCTATTAAAAACTGGGCTTACCTTGAGGAAGTGCTTTAAGAGGACAAAAACATATTCAAGGTGAAAAGGCTGTTTGAGGAGAGTCATCCATTTTATGTTGTAATATGGTTTAAAAGAGAATTAAGTATGTAGAAAAATATGGTTGATTATTTGAACATGTCTGTCTAGTATTAAAAAAAAAAATAAGGTATGTTCTATCTATCCAATGTCAGTTCTGTCTTTAGGATGGAATACAAAAACTTAGTTGCCTGTATTTAATGCCTGTTTGGCGATTGCTTAGCAGTCATCACACTCACAATCAAGCAGAGAAATAAATCACAATTTAGCAGTAAAAACAACTTCGGTTAGATGTCCTATACTGGAGTCAAGTGGTCACCTCTGGAGCTCACCAAGCCCTGATGGGATTCCCAGAATTAAGTGTAGCAGAAGTGGGAAAGGGCTGGAAAGCTCCACAGCACACAGCAGTTTTAGGTTCCTGGGTAGTAGCATGGTAGGGAGAGAAATTCCCCTTGCTTCTGTACTTACTATGTTTGGGTGGTTTGGGCACTGATTGTAGAAATTAAATCAGAAGGGAAAATGCTGCCCCTTGCTGATTTGACAGAGACAGGAGAGAAGTAACAGGATAGATGGATCTCAGCTATAAATCTGTGGATTCCACAAGGCCTGGCATGCCTTACGAGTCTAACCTTTCAGTTTAATGACGTAGCAAGAGGAACTTGGAAACAGATGGCCTGTTCTCAAAGTCTGAGCAGCATTTTTCCTCTTGAATGTCTTTATCCTTGCAGAATCTGTCCTTATGGTTATCTTGTCACTGCCGTGCTGGTTCTCATAGTGCACAGAGGTGATGGACAGGGCTGCAGTAAAAAATCTTTAAAAGCAAAGGTTTCAACACTATTAGTGTTGTACTGCCTGTATTGCTGCTGTTTCTCATTTAACCCAATAAAGGAGTGTCTGAGGACAAAAAAAAAAAAACCCTTGTGTAGTCTAGTAGGCATGGGATAGATGGGAATGTGAGTCTTCTGTTAGCTGCAGTTTGTCACAGTCAGAAACAGTCACTCAGTGCTTGTTTAATGTAAGCTGCAAAAATACAGTACACGTCTCAGGGATGGGATGTAAGGCTTTGATTGAGGGGGAGGGGGAACTGCACAAGACTTCATGAATGCTTAACACCATCTTTCACTTCACTTTAAAAATTAGGAGAGGTCACTGAAGTCAATAATCTCTAAAGTGAGAGGACCATCTAGTCTTGTATGTGTGTATACATAAGCAATAGAAATCCTCAGGATTTGTTTTCTGTACTTTTGACTTCTTTCAGGTTAATGGACAGTGGAAAGGTCACAGTGCTGGAGGATGTGGTAACTTCAGAGACACCTACAAAAATAACCCCATTTATCAATTCCAGCTAGACAAGAATGGACCATTGCTAATTGAACTACGGGGGCCAAGGTTTGTAGAAAATAATTGTGCATCAATACAGTGAAAGCATTGCATGCCAAAGATAAAGCTTTGTCAGTATCCCCTTGGGGAGGGTGGGAAGCTCATGGAAAATCCAGAAAACAAGGTGTGGGAGTTGACTCAGATTTAGTACTATTTGTTTCTATCTTTACCATCAATAGTGTTTTAAATCTACATATTAACTACTGAGGGAAATCCTTGACTTATAAGGAAAGCAGCAGCCTTCCTTTGTCTTAAGTTTTGGGGTCCGAGTTAGGGAAGAAGGTATAAAGGACTTTGTCTTAAAACTAATTATGATCATAATTACTTTTACTTTGTAGTAGAGCTAATATACAAGATACTAAACCCTTACAGCTCTCAAACACCTCTGAAAGTGCATTTACTCTGCTACTAGCAGGCCACGAGAAGTGCTGGATGTCAATGTCCTATAAAGTAGACTTATGTAGGGCAAATTCCTTTGGCACAATGAATGATTACCTCAAAATACCAGTATTCAGTACTTCTGAAGAGCAACATCTCCTGACCTGCAGTCAAACTGTTTATCCTTTGCAAAGCTGTACAGTGGGCCCTACAAAATGGTAGAACTTTTCTATCTCTCCTCCCCTCTTTGAGGAAACTCCTTCTCTCACGAAATGAAGGTGAAGGCAGAGGTGTGGCTGCACAGTTCTGTGAATTGAGAAGTTCTTTGCATTTTTTCCTGCACTTGCACGTCATTTGGGTAGTTTGAAGGACAGAGGCAATGGTGCCTGTCACATGCATTAACAGGAGCAGACAAAGTGTCCCAGGTTGCATTGCAACATGAGAAATTCTGCTGAGATCACTGACACCGAGTCCTGTGATAGCAATCTGATCACACCCCAGGATCTCTGCCATGTGGCACAGGAGTGTGTCACAAGCTTAACTACTTGAATTCTGCTTGAGTGCACAGGCAGGCTTCTAGCAGGCATTTTCCCTACAGTCTAGTTCTAAACCTGAACTGAGTTCTTCCTCCAAATAGTACATTCATGTCATGCTAAATTTGACTTAACATTTTTGCCACAAATGTGGCAAAACTTTTAGATGTCTTTCAGTTATACTGTATAGTTTTTCATAACTAGCCCTCTTTGTGGTAATCCTGATGACCCAAGTATCTAAAGCAAATTTGTCATGTCACTTGCAGGCAATACAGCGTTGGTTTTGAACTTGTCACTGTCTCAACAGTGGGAGATCCTGGTTCCTATGGCTTTCAGAAAAAAAGCAGTGGTGACTACAGGTAACACTTAATGAAGTCTGTACAGAGGTTTGAAACATACTTTAGATCCCATTTCTAACAGGTAGTTTTCTTTATCATAGGTGTGGATTTTGCTACTTGGAGGTGGAGAACACATTTGCTGGAGTTTACAACATTATCCCCACCACATTCCTGCCTCAACAAGAGGGGCCTTTTTTCTTAGATTTTAACAGTACTACTCCTCTTAAGGTGTCACAGCTGCAGTGAGGAGACAGAACTGTGCAGTGCTGTTTAAGGAGATGGTTTTGATCTGTCCTGAGAACAGGTGAAGAACCCTTACTACACATGCACAAAAGAGAATTACATCCTGACTTACAGCCAAAAGCATGGAATGACAGATTGCCAGTTAATTGTGGCGGGCAGTTAGCTGTGGGTTTGCTGCTGTGGTCCAGGAGTGAGCACTGTTCAACAGGCTTGGGAATAGGCTAAAATGCATATATTCAAATGAACCAGCAGAACTCAATTTATTGCATTTTTCCACACTTTGAATCAAAGTCTAGTGAGTTACAAGAAGAACTAACATTGAAATTCCCTCCTCCCAACATACAGGGTATATGGGCTAAAGATTCTATTCTTAAAAGTAAACACGTAAGAAAAAAATATTCTTGTGTATTCTGCTTATTCAGTCTCAGGACCAAATAGCTTTTATTACACATTTGTGCTGCTATCTATGTTTTCAGCACTGAACTGATTCTCCCATCTAAATGTAAGTGTACTGCTGCTGAGCCAGTAGCATTCCATGTGTCATCTTCTCTGGAATATGTATATAGGAGTACAGGAAAAAGAAGGTTCCAGCTTTAGCTATTTCTAAAAGCAAAGCAATTGCTTTGCTCATGTTATGTGTACCTTGAGAGCTGTTACTTCATATCTGAATGACTTCAGTACATAATACAGCATGAGGTTCTGTGGCTTTCTCCCTGCCATCTGCCAGACCTAGGTTGATCCTGATGAGCAGGAAGGACAGGAGGTTATCCAGCACTAGTGACCAGGCAGTGCAGCACAGCCTGCCATGAGCAGCTGTGAAGGGTTTTCATCTGAAGATCTCCTGTAAGATTCACTGTATCTGCTTAGGGTAGTCTCAGTTGATGGTGCAGAGAGATGGGGAAGTGCCCACCATCAGCAACTCAGCAAAGAAATGTTTTATTTTCATCACTTCTGTAAGTATGCATCATGTAGGGAAGGATCATTTAAACCTCTCTCCCAATGAACCACAGCTGCAAGGAATGCACTTGCTGATGCCATTATGCAAGACATCTTTGAAAAGATACTTTTTTCCTTTTAAGTTGAAACCAGTGAAGGAATTGAGCACATGCCCAGTGTCATCAATAGAAGCAGGATCAGAGTTCTTAAGAAAATAGTGGAGGTGGAATTAATGCAGAACAAGTTATTTTTTTTAGAAGACCCCCCACCATGTGTTCTTCCTCTAGATCTGTACACATTGTATCTGAAGAGGATTCAAGATGGGAAGTTTTTATTTAATACCAACTGCCTCACAGATCCTGAAATTGATTAAATTTTGTAATTTTTACAACATTTACAATATTTCACAACTGGGGGAGAGGGTATTTTTAAAACAGCCATGGGAATTTTGCTGCCATTCACACTGGTTTGGCAGTTTTCCAAGAAAAAAGGTAGCATTTAAATCTTGCTTTAGGTTACAGGTGTCACTTGGCCATTGGGAAACTGAACACATATTCTATAATAGCACCAGAAATAGCTGTGGGCTAAAATTATTCCCACAGAAATCTGCTTTAGTCCTCTCCAGAAAGTAGAAGAACCTTTTGTTTCATTTCATCAGACAGCTGCTTAACAAGTGTCTGGCACTGAAAGGGCAGGGATAGCTCCTGCCTTGGAAAACGCATGCCTTGCTGACTGTAATTCTCTCAGAGACCATCTGGGCTAGGGAATTCGTGACAAGTTTGTCACAGACTGACTTACCTTCTTTTGCAGGGGAGTTTCTGATGTTTACTGCAATAAATCAACAGAAGGAAGAGCATGGGCACAAGCTGAGAATAAAACAGATTAGGTTCTTTGTGGTTGTGCTTGGGTTTTGGAGTATGTGCCAAGGACTGCTTCATCCCTGCAATATGGAAGTTTCATTCAACTCCCATTTTCCCTACAGGTTTCTGTTAAGTTTTTAGCTGAGGCTAAACCCAGAGGAGCAGTGGAGTCCTCCAGCTATCTTATCACCTCTAAAGTTGGAGGTATTGAGGAAGTCTCAACTGAGTATCTTTTTGGCAGTAGAAAAGGCAGATGCCAGAAGTGCCAGCTTTCAGCACCAAGTTCTTGCACCTTCTCTGCTGTTGGAGATCAAGCTGGTAGACTTGCCTACAGGAAAATCTGTTGTTGTTCTTCCATAGTTGGTTTCTACTCGGCAGGAAGGAGTTATTCTTTCTCTTTCCCCCTGAGCACAAGTTAGTGCCAAAGCTTATGCTGCATGAAACAAGCATAAGGCTCAGCTTCCGTACTGTGCAGAAATTAAACTGAACTGAAGTAAAAAGTAAGAAATGTACTCACCAGGCAAAGACATTGAGGCCAAAGGATCCTGTCCCCACCAGGATACGCCAGTATTTCTTACATATTTGGAACAGTCAGTGGATTTGGCTTATCCCCATTAATGCACAGGACTTGAGTTTAGTATCAATCTTATATATATAAAGCAAAGTCTATTCAAATATTGCACCTGCACAGGGTACTAGAATGGCATCACTGTGCATTTCCCTTCAGACATAGGACAGAACACTCAGATGAAGTATTTAAGAGGTACTACAAAATATCCTTATAAATTGCAGCCTAGGGATTCTGGTTATGGAAAATTAATTTTACAATAAAATTTTCTTGCCCTTTTTTCTTAAGAAAAAACATTGATGTAAGCATTTAGGACTTGCTTTAGTATTTTCTGTCAAATATATACTTTCGTATATTTTCCATATATAAGTCTGGAAAAATTATTGCAAAGTGAACTGATCCTTAGATTTTAACATGACCTCAGGCGACTAAGTTAAGCTTTTCTTTCCCTTGTACTGTTTAGCATTTTTTGAGCCATATGACAGAGAACACAGTTTGTTCTGTTTGTTGTGTTAGGAAGACACAGGTTAGCCCTTGGTTGATCCAACCTCTCAGTTCTCAAAGACTCAGTGAGACGATGAATGGCATCAACATCTTCCATCCCAACTGCCCCAGACTGTGAGTCCGAGTTCAGTCCTAGTCTCCTGCTGCAAGCTTCATGTAACTATTTTGTACAGTAATTCTGCATTTAACCACACAATCTCTGCAGCCTTTGAACAGCCACCTATTTAGAACTAAGTTTGTGTACATACAGTAGAGGTTTTCATCACTTCATCTAAAAAGACACTGAAATTGTTTGATAATACCAAAGAGAAGTAGAACTCCTAGGTTAACATTTGCTTTATACATTCTCACATCAGGGCAGATGAAGCAATCATGTATACTTTGATACACCAGAGGCTTATTTTTATACCCATGAAGGCAGCTACCATTATGTTACACTTCAGAATCCATGAAGAGCTTAAGTAAAAAGTAACTGGACAAAGCTTGTTCATTTGCTTGTACTCCATAGCAATGTATGTTCATTTAAGTACGTCATATTTATAATTATGGCTTTTATGAAGTTTAAAATAAAATGAGTTTTCCATTAATTTATTAGACACACAGTTGTGCCTTTTTGCTTGCATATTTGAAGGGTGATTTCCCTGCCAAGTCTGGGGCTCACCAAAGGAGGAAGGCTGCATCATGATCTTTCACCAACTCTTGAAGCAGGGTGATAGAAAAGGCAGGGCAGAGTGGGTTCCACACCCTTTCAAACTTCCAAATCAATGGTTTTACCCAGCTGGGAGCTCAACCCAATCAGGACATAAGCAAGGCAGCGCACAAAGTTAATCCACTGTGCCCAAGTGTGGGAAGTTTGGGTTTCCAGTCCAAACTGGCAAGATGAGAAGAAATTTGATAACGAGAGAGATGAAAAAAATAAAAAGGGAAAAAAATCGCTACCAAAACAACTATTCAAAGAGCCCAGGAACATGTAACAGGTGTTGACTGGGAAGTCTGCAAAAGTGAGATTCAACCACAAAGACCTCTGCTAGTTTTCTAGCTGAATGCGGCAGAGACAACAGCTCAGCTATGAAAGTTTAGATAAAAACACCTAATACAATGTGGCACTCCTGTAACTGCTTTTCATATTTAATATTGTCTATCCCAGCTTTTTCTGAAGTAATGATCACATCAGAAGTTGGAACCACAGGCTTCTTTCCTAAGCATTTTCTGTGCCTGGGAACTGCTGGCATTGAAAGGTTTCAGCCTTAAAGTCTTCAGAAGATGTAAACATATAAATGTCTAACACAGTTACAGCTTAACAGCTACAATGTGATGAATCTATTTTTCTGTGAAAATAGGATTCTTTGCCTCCAATTCTGCACGGCTTTACAGCCAATTTCAGCAGCATTAGGTACAGAGGTCTTACGTAACAGAATACCTCCCTCCTGCACACTAAGGAGGTTTTGGAGAGCCTGACTGAAGCTCTGGTCTTGTGGCACAGTTCAGGATAAAATGTGAGCCACATATGCAGGATTTGGGAAGCTGGAAAGAGGCACCAGTTGCCCATATACCTCAATGGATTCTAACACCAGTGTGACCTCAGCCTGCAGTCTTCAGCTGGAAGTGGATATTTGGAGGCTAAACTTGCTGTGGGAGAAGACTGGTTCCTAGCACTTAAGATAAACTTCACTTGCACAGACTCAAAATGTGGAAAACAAAAATGTTTACTGTAGTGTGAAGAATTTTACATAAACTTTGAGAATAGATACACAAGCTGTGGCAAGGATGAAATACAACAGGACTGCAAAAACAGAATAGAAAATACTTTGGGCAATACTAAGATTCCCATCAAATCAACAATATAAACTGACATTTTAGAGAAAATGGTGCTTTCAGAAATGCTTAGTCACCAAAACTGAAGAGTCCTAGGATTTTTACTACCACTTATTAGCATAATTATCAGACACTACTACTGCCTAACAGCTGCTGGCAAAACATGCCCCGTGCCCTTTCTAGTTTTATTGAACAGTTTGTCTAGGGCATACTAAAATCCCAAGTCCCTTTAACAGTTATAAACCCCCACACAGTACAACCTACAGAGAAGCTTAAGAACACATTGTCAATCTACACTGGCAATTCCTTTTCTTCATGCATATTTCAAGGGCAAACCCCTTATTATCATCATCCTGAAAACATCTATGACTTCCATTTTTGAGGGGAAGAAAAAAACCCAAAAAACACTTAAAGTGCTGAAAAGTAATTCTTCACTTCTCAGGGAAGCAGAAGGGCAAGGGGCCAATCAACTCTTTTTGGTCACTGGAATCACCTGCAGAGTCCAAGCCAGACTCGGGAAGGTGTCTAGAAAGGGCCTCCCAACTGCTGGGCTTTACCATTCCCTTCCTGTCATCCATCTGTTTTATAGGCTCTTAGAGGCATGACTCATTTTATTTTCTGTGAGCACCAAGGGAAGAGTGAAGGCTTTCAGACCCCACACATGCAACAGCTTTCCTGTATACAAAATATTTCTACAGTTTCAGCATTATAAAGACCAATACAGATGTTTAAAGATTATGCCACTTGTACTCAAGAGATTGGTTGTATCTAAAGAGCATTTCATTCTACAAAACCGAAGCCAAACCACTCTCTGCAAAAGTCTGGCTTGAATTTCAGACCCCCGACTGGCATGAATTTACACGGGAACATTACTAGTTATTGCTTCAGCCAGGCTGCTACAAAACAATTTACAAAGTCTGTGAAATATGAGCACAGCTTAAACATTTGATAACTCGTCCGGCCTACAAAGGATTTACTGAATAAAAACTTCAGCCCTCCACATCAATTAAACTTCTTAGTGCATTTTTAAATTCTCAGAGTAAACGCTTAAGATTTGGCATATATTATTGGCACAACGTTCTTCAAACACTTAGAAGTTCATGTATAAATATTTAGATTCCCATTATTCAGGATGGGGCACGAGAAGGCCTCAGCCAATCTGGGCAGCTTTCCTGCCCGCACAAATTCCCTCTTTGATTTTCATGCACTGCAGGGAGAGCTGCTTCATTCGGTTATCCAGAGCCAGCCCTTCAGTGGAGCTGCTCCTGGTGCTGCTCCTATTCTTGTTCACTCTGTCGCTTGTCTTGTTCTCAGCCCCTTCTGCCCTATCCCCTGCAAAGAAAGGATTAAACTGGATGTTAAACCCGGATTTCATTCTGCAAGTTAAGCTTCAAGCAGGTGCCTCTGCAGCTTCCTTTGCCAAAGCACACAGAAACTGCAGGAGCAAGATGCTTTAACAAAACCAAGTTGGCCTTCCAAGCCGTACTCAACTTGTGCACTGCACCAGCAAATTAGTGAGAACAGCCTTAAAATGGAGCAGACAAGGACAGTGGTAATCCTCCAGTCTGAATTAGTCAGCCAGGGCTGGCAGAGCCTGCAACAAGCTCCTTCTGGCGTGTTATTTTTTTGTGGGGATTTTGGTTTGGTTTTTTTCTCCTGGAAAGCAAGATTTTCAAAAAGCAGGACAGTAATTTAAATAAATGAACTCAGATTTTCCTCCAAATAAATGTACCATGAGAATCTCACTGTTCACTTATTTAGTGAGAAATCTCAAACCCCTGCACTAAGACAGAACTGGGGAACATTCCCAGCCAGGAGAACAGTAATTAATGCATTACAGACATCGCTGTTAACTCTGAGACACAGGGCCTTCTACAGTTGCCTTCCCCATAGAAGCAGCCAGCAGCTCTGAGCATTCCCTGGCATGTGCCTAGGGGAGCTGGGAAGGTTTTCCTGCTCCCTTTATGAAGCTGAAGAACACTGGCCCAGGGCGTATCCAGCTGTGCATACCTCTTTCAGCTTCACACTCGGGGGAGGAGGCCCCACTGCATTCGCTCCGGGGGCCCAGGACAGGGAAGATCATCCCAAACTCAGAGAGGGAGACAGGACTGGGCAGATCCAGGCTTCCAGGTCGTGTCACAGGAGGAAACTGAGTGGGCACCTCACAGGGACTCGTGGGACCAGAGCTGAAGCTGGACACCGACTGAGTTTCCGAATCTTCTTCGGACACAAAGCTGCTGCCGTTGTCATCCTCAAACACTTCTGAAGCCACTGCAATGTTCAAAGAATATTCCAGTTAGTAATTCAGCCTCCCCTCCTGCACCTTCCCAGGCAAAGGCATTTTTTCAGGTTTGCATTTTCCACACACAGACACACTTCTAGCCCATGGGCTGCCCCTTCTGGTTCTGTGTCCCCTGTGCAAAGCCTTAGCCTGGTTCTGCCCCAGACAGCAGCACACTTGCCAGCCAGGCCATGCAAGGCCAGCTCTGCAGTAGCTACTGCTCCTCGTGCCAAGAAGCTCTTGGATTTTTACTGGTCCTGCTGGCCTTCTTCATTTGTGGTCTTCAGTAGACAACTTAGGTTAGAGCCTGATTCCCTGTGTCTGCCTCCACCAGCACTATCTTGATCCCTGTGCAGCCTCCTGGTTACTTACGGTGCTAATTAGAAAGACAAAGGTCCCAAGATTTCTTTTTGAATGAGGATCACCAAACAACACCAAAATAAAAAAAATTTAAAAAAAAACCAAAAAAAAAAAAAAAAAAAACAAAAACCAACCAAAAAAAACCCCCCATATATTCTGTTCCCTGCTTGCGTTTGCTCAGATCTGAATTCTAATTAAAGCAAACCCGCTCCAAACTGTCTGTCTGGATTAAGCTGCAGCATCCTTATGACTAACCAGAGGAGAAACCCATTAAAGAAGGCTCCATTTTGTGCAACACAAGGGTGTAGATTTTGCTGAAATTCAGCACACTTCAGAGGCTCATTGCAGGCTGGGGACCAGAGACTTCTGCACACAAGCAGTCCCACCGGGATCAGAAGGTTCTCTACACACATCAGCCTCTACACCACCAAGAGTGTGCTGGAATCACACTGGCCTGAAGAAGTCCCAGACACAGCAAGATATCCACAGTGACCTGAGGTTATCTTCAGTTCCTCCTCCTGGCAATTCCTGCCATTGTTAGCAAGGCTCAGAATCGCCTTGGAAGAGCAGCAGGGGCAAAGCAGCAGCGTTAACAAAAGGGCTCAAAGGAGAAGCTTCAAAGAAGTTCTCCTGTCACCTTGGCAGCCTGGGGCTTGCAGGCACCCCTCGGACACAAAGGTGCCAACAGAGGCTGCTACTGCCTCCTTTTATGGGAGAGATGCTCAGCCTCTTTCTGCTGGACTTGCAGATTGCAGAACTGCACTTACACATTGCAACATTGACCCAAAAGGCTTCAAGCATGAAATGGATAACAACATTATTCACCTTCCTGAGTCCTCTCCAGGGCACTTCATACTCAGGGACAACTTTTCTTGTGGTTTGGGTTTTGTTGTTTGGTTTTTAATGAAGTCAAATCTAAGACTGCAGAGGAGCCTTCCTTCTCACTTGCTGTGTTTCATCAATATATGGTGACCAGTACAGATAACTTTGTGGGGGCAAAAGCAGTAAAAGGTTTGGCAAAAAAGATGTTTCCAATTAGAGTCCTCTGCTTGGCAAGAAGCACTGACATCAGGCAGTCTACACATGGCACAGCTTAAACTGTAGCTTCCTTTTCACTATCTAAATTACTGTAATGCAGAGGAGCATCTGCAAGGGCCAAGAAACTCCTGCTGATGACGAGATGTTTTATCTGATGCCAGCAGACAGAAATCAAAATATAAAAGGACCTTGGTGGAAAGCTCCCCCCACATTACAATGAGAACTTAATCCAGGCTATTTTATTATTTAATCCAGGCTGCTTGTCCTGCCCTGTCATAACCCAGTTCTGTGCTGGCACCAGACACAAGCTGATGTCCTTCCACTCTTGTCAGACTGCGCAATTCAAAGAGAGGGATGAGCCCACTCTGCTGGTCCTTGCCTGCAGCCTCAGCTACAACCAGGGGAGCCAGCAACTAATATTAATTAACATGAACTTTCCTGGCTCTTTCTGCCCTATATCCCAGATCCCTGAAATCCTTCAGCACAAAATACCCTAAAATTCAGTAATACCTAGGGCTTTCAGGAGGCCTTCTTCATGAGGAGGTGGACTTGCAGGTCTCTAAAAGAGGCAATTCCTGCCTAGGTTGGACAGGATCTGCCTCAGGAATTAAG